ATTTGTTTAGGAAGGCATTGCAAAGATGGAATACAAACTTCATAATATTCTTCTAAGCGTTGCATTTCTATCGGCGTTGTCAATGCGTCAATGAGTTGATTATTGTCGGCACTTTTTGTTTAATCACTCCTAATACAATATTTTGGTTTTCTCCTTGTAACTGTTGTAAAACTCTCTTCACTGTTATCTTCTACAATGTTCTCCGTTTTTTTCTTTTTTCCGCTGACCTTATTTTATGTTGGGTTTCCATCTTATTTTTCTCTAGAAATTTGGAATTTTCACACTCATGTTCACAATCGCTTACACCTTTACAATCACTTTGGTCACTATTCTCAAAGTTACCATTGTCTTCCTCATTACCCCCTTCCATGAGACAGGAATTAGTTTAAAAGAAGATTAAAAAACAGCGATTCACACGAATAAAACGCTGAAAAATTAAATTTTTTGGAAAAAATTTATCAAACACTAGTGACAGCTAATCACCATGACAACCGTTCGATCAATCAATCAATCAATTACAATTCTGATTGCATAATTTCTATTAAAGCAAAATTTACTAAAAAGAGAAGGTTCTATTAAGTTCTAATTAAACCATAATGATTATTGTATAGCTGTCTTTGCATTAGCTTACAATTTTATGATACTTTTTCCATGTGTGAACATGTTTTGATTATTATTATTAAATAAATATTTCATACTATATATTATAGAATAAGGGTGACAAACGAGCACACAGTCCACTTGATGGTAAGTGGATGCTGTGGCCCATAGGCATCTACATTTATCTTCAATTACGAATCAAAATGCAGATGCGTTGCCAGCTTTATATATAGGATATAATTACTATATCGATGAAATTTAACTTTCAGACGATTTTATAACTGTAACTTTGACCTTAGTAAATTAAAAAGTAAAGGAAAATCGGTCTGTAGTTCTTCAAGAGAGTGTTGTCGCCTTTCTTGAAGAACAAGATCAATGCATTTCTGCCCCACGCCTCCGGAGTGGCGCCACCATGGAGGACGGAATTGAAGAGCTTCTGAAGGACTTTAAGTACCGGTGTTCCACCCGCTTTCAGAAGCTCCACTGTAATTGCATTCTCGCCTGAGGACTTGCCGTTTTTAAGGTGCTGGAGAGACATTCTAATCTCGCTCATCCTGACGTCCGAGATATCATCGGAATAGTGTTGGATAAGACTTGCTCTTGGATCGTTACTCACACTTCCGTGTGGCTTCAAGATGATGCGTACAGCTGGCCATAGAACCCTTAATCTCACTCAAAATCTCAGGTGTCCCGGAAACAATGCTGCCACACTCGGTCTTCAGCTTTGACAGTTGGCTCTTTTTAGCAGACAAATCTCTGGCGATGACTTTGGAGCCCTGGTTCCGCTCGATCGCTTCTTCAATATGAGCTGTATTGAAGTTGCGTAAATCCCGCCGCAAGTATTTAGAGATCTGTCTGTTCAGTTAGCCTGTATGCTGTTAATTCTGTTGAAGACTGCAGCTTCATTTCCCGCCTAACAGCCATGAGATTAAGAGCGTGATCGAAGAATTTCTGTGTTCTTCTTCGGCGGGCCTCGCAGAAATTAGCTGCGACCGCATGGACAGTTTCCACGAGCTTGTCATTCATATCATCCACTATATTGCAATCTTCTAAGTACTAAAAACGGTTTTGTAACTCGAGCTGAAAAGTTTCGGGACTTTGAATTAGAGCACGAGGGGGACAGGGCGTTAGACTTCGTTAGACGAGACCTCTCCAACTTAGCGCTTAGGTTCAGTGTGTCTCTAACCATTCTGTGATCGTTGCCAGTTTCACTCTTGCGATCACTGAGACATCACTGAACAATTGCCGTCTAGAAGTCATAATGAAGTCAATTTGTGACAATTGTGTCAATTGTTTTTTGTCGAACCGTCGGGGCTCGACCAGGTCCACTTTCTGTGGAACCGCTTCTGGAAGAAAGAGTTCATCATAAAGAGTCGGTCTTTCTCCTTGAAGTCGGCCAGCTGCTGGCCCCTTGGGGTTCGTTAACCTATCCCAAATTTTCCTACCTTCAGCTCACCGTTCTTTCTTGTGCCTAGCTTTGCGTTAAAGTCAACACCATATACTGGGTTTTGGAGGAATGCATGGCTCTAGAAATATCCTCATACATTTCCTCCAACTCCTCATCGGGATGTTCCGACGTTGGTGCGTAAACCTGTATGACCTTCAGCGAATACCGTTTGGTGATTCCGAGTAAAAGGTACACAAGCTTTGTCGATACACTCCAAATCTTTACAACGTTGTTAACGAGAGACTCGTGGGCGATAAATCCAACACCTCAGATGGTCGCCCTCCCGGTGATAGAACAAGTTGCCGGATTCGAGAATCACCGTGTCCTGCTCCTCTCTTCGGACCTCGGATAATCCTATAATATTCTAGCGCCACTTGTCTATCTCTTCTTCCAGCTTCATGATCTTCTCGTCAGTCTTCAGGGTGCATGCGTTGTAAGTTGCCAGTTCAAGTCGTTGTAGGAGGCAACCGAACCTCCACCGGAGATTCTTAGCACCTCCTGCCCCGCCGTTATCACGGTCGCCACCGTAGCTAGGAATAGAGAGGCCACCGGGGACTGGGTGCATGATAACAAAAGTCGCCTATACATTTGTAGCTAATGAACGGTAATGTGTAGCCGGAAAGCGATAGTGTATCGTAGAAAAATTCGTGGCACTTTGTAGTAAACTCCAAAGTGCCCCGAGCACCAACGCTGACGCACGAGATTCAACAGAGGTGAGGAAACGCAGCTAGGTACTCTTTAGTCGCAAGCGACTCGAGCCCGAGGTTCCGAAGATCCGAGCCCCACCGAAATCAACCGAATGAACGTATAGCAACGACCCCCACTTGATATTTGTTACTAAAGACGGTGAATTAACATTTAACGCCACCAAATATACACCGAGATTGTACTTATGGCTGTTAATATAACAAGAATTATTGCACTACCAAACACTATATTTGATGCACTTAAAAAGTGGTATGAGTTTCGATGGTATCTATTATCTTTTAACAATATTATAAGATTAATCACGAACAATACCATATTCGCGTATTGATTATTATTGTATCTAAGCGTATGCGCAAGCACAGGTGCACTCTCTATTCCCTCACTCTCATAGTCCGATGGGACGGTAATTCGACACGACCGGAGAGAGATCATATTCGGGAGCAACGGTTTTACATGCTTTCCGAGGCACGGGGGTAATACATCGCGGACTTCCTAACTTCTTTACAAAATTCTAATAAATGATTTTGGCCCAACCCGGGATATGATTGGGATTCGAACCCGGGACCTTATGATTAGCAATTGCGTTTACGACCACCAGACCAACGAGGCATTCAGTTCATAATTAATCTTAGTTTTAATATAGAGTCAATTTCAGTCCCGTGGAAAATATGCGAACTAATGTAAATGTAGAATGTAGTGGTGGTCTTAAAAATTAAAATGTACACTTCGCGTAATGAATAAAATCCGTGGGGGTCTTAAAAGGCGACAGAGGGCTGCTGAAACAGATGGGCAGCAAAATCTTACTCATAACAACTCAAAAAAAAATGCGGCTGCCAAGCGTGCCAAGTATGACAAAACTCCTTGTATGAAGCAATTTATGGGGGAAGCCTATCTTCAGTAGTAACTTTTATAGGCTATAATAGACGGATGGATAATCAAAAATGTAAAGTACGGAGTTTGACGGAGCACATGTCAAATTTCGCGAAGACACTAGCACCACGGCTTAGGGTTTTGTTTATTGAATAAGATTTTACAACATATTTGAGCCTGAACATATCAATAAACCACGTTTTGTTAAAAAAAAGTTGAGGAATACGTACTAATGATTTCCGACTTAGTGTTTACACGTTATTCAGTTGTTGTTGAGGGGTCAAGGGTAGGCTTTTTATTCTTTTAAGTTGTACAGCTGTAGATATATATTTAAGTATCTCCACACAAATGTTATTTTTTCTATATAATTATGTAAATAATACTAAGATTTAGGAAGGTTATTAATTTAAAAAAAAAAGACGTGTGGCACTCGGGGACTGCCGCGGTAAAGCTATTGCATAGCATTTTGTACGAGTATCAACTTATGCAATTATAATTATTTATTTATTTTATTTATGCAGTATATCTTTTTCTTTGATATTAATTCAAGTTACACTTTTTGAGCGTGGTGACCGATAAGAAAACAAATTTTTTTCTTTTTATTAAATAAATAAATAATAAATGCACTTTGTTCATACATATTCAAAACACTTTATACACAAATTTTACAAGTACAGCTATTCACTGTTGTACATAAATACCTATACACCTATATACTTTCTCATAAACAGCTGCTTATGTATTCGTCCGATTTCGGAGCAGCTCGTCTCGATTCGTGCGAGCTTCGTAGAGTCGTACAATACGTCTAGTTGCACGCACACAAACACCGTGTCAAAGACTGCCGAAAAGAAACGACGTTAGACAATGCACGGCCTTCAAGCCACACCTCCGTGCCCGTCGGAGTGGGGAGCGTGAGGTTTTTTCGTTACGGAATTTCTGGATTCGGTCCCCGCGCTCAAGGCCCGCGATAGAAGCTATATAATTAGCTTACATATAGCTTAAAAATTGCTTTGACTGACTACCACACCTAATTTGCCAAATAAATGTAAAATAGAAAATTTATAAACCACCTACGCAATTTTAAGCACAATTTTGCTATGTAAGCTATCCTACTACGAAAATAATGCTACAAATAAACAGACGAAACGTTTTATTGTGTAGTGATGGTGTAAGAAGGGTGGAACAGTAGACAGACAAGTCTCAAGTATTTTAGATTAAGACCTCTTGAATTATTATGTAAGATTTAGACTAGTGACTTGCGATCTTACGTAAGGGCAGTTTGGGGTGTGTTTCTTAACATGAGATATAAAGCAATAAGTATTTTTTGTGAAGCTAAGTCTAATACTACTTATTACGTTAATTGTATTATTGATAGGGTTATCGTGGACCACCAGGCCCGGTCGGACCTCGTGGTGAGCCTGGAATTCAAGGTCCACCCGGTCCCCCTGCTAATATAAATGCTTCGCTTATATATGGTAAGTTAAATATGCTGATATTTATTATTTATAAGGTTCTGTAAATTTTCTTTTTTTGAAGTAACATTGTATACATTTACACATGGGAGAGCCATGCTGCAGTTATATTAGTAGTATAGTTGTAACACGAATGGGTCGGCTCGACCGGGGAAGAACCATGCTTTTACAGAATACAGGCGTAAAATAGTAGGTTAATGCTGCTGTGTTTCGCATGGTGAGTGTAGAGAACCGGAGACCCTTTTTACTGGAAACGAGGTATTACATCTTAGTCCTCACGAGTGACAACGCATCTGCATTTTGATTTTTAATCGAGGTTGAATGTAGATGTCTATGGGCCACAGCATCCACTTACCATCAGGTGTACTGTGTGCTCGTTTGTCACCCTATCCTATTAAAAAAAATTGTGACGCATTGTAACTTTTAACAGTTTATAAAAATTTCGGATGACAGATATTATATATATATATATATATATATATATATATATATATATATATATATATATATATATATATATATATATATATATATATATATGTAATATAAAAAAACTAAATAATGAATAGTAAGAACAAACCTTGTAGGTAGCATTGTAAGAATATCCACTACCTCGTATCGGCTCGTGGGCGTCCTAAAAGGCAACCCAGGGAAAATAATACAGGAGAGGAAGAGCAGCATCTTCCTGATATAAATACAAATAAGAAAAATATGCAGTCGCCAACCCATCTGCCAATCATGGCAAAATATTCTCTATGAAGTAATCTATGGAGGAGGCGTAAGTGCATTGGACTTTTGTAGACTGTATTGGACGAATAAACGAAGAATTATCCACGAGGAATAAGTATGATTGTTACTCAGGGACCCTTTAGGGACATATTAAACGATATTTTTAAGTTAATTTTATTTAATTTGAGGAATAAAACTGAATTTTACGGTTTTTATTGTTTAAATTTTTTAATGCATTAAATGTGTGGTATTCACGTAAATATCTGTAACCATAACGTTTATACCCTATTAAATATCTAAAATATTATAGAAAGCAATAAATTATTTTTTGAAATATTATTTAATATAAATAAAGTATATTATTTTATAAAAGTATTATGTTTGACTTTTAGGTGCTAAGGGCGATAGAGGCTCTCCTGGTAGACCGGGGCGAGATGGTGACATGGGTCCTAGAGGTCCACCAGGCTTGGATGGTGTATCAGTAAGTCTGTTTTGTCATGCTTTTACGTGGTAGAGACACACTGCACTATATTATGGTTATAGCACAAACTAATCGGCTCGACCAGGACAGGACCATGCTCTCACAGAATACCAGCATAAAATAGCAATTTAATGCTAAGCTGTATTTCGTATGGTAACTGTACGGAATCTGAGCCCATTTTTACTGCAAACAAGGCAATCTATTTTAGTCATCAGGGGTGACAATGCAATTGCATTTTGATTCTTGATATTCTTAAGATAGATGTAAATGTTTATGGGCCACAGCATCCACTTTCCATCAGGTGGACTGTGTGCTCGATTGTCAGCGTTATTCTATAAAAAAATGATTTTTGATGTTGAAGACCTGTATTAATGATGAAATTTTTTCTTCTGTATTATTAAGGTATTTAATCAAAAATATTTTAACCATGAGCGAGACTTCTAAGGGGAACAACCGCTAACAAACACTAGGTATACGTAAAATATGTTTTGATTTACTTAATTGTACAGTCCTAGTCATAATTTTTTCCTAATCCTCCAAGTAGTTTATTGGAGCGGAGCTCCCATGGCGCAAGAAAACGATTCTTTGAAATCTATTTCCTCCGTAAACCGTAGGCCAATATACATAATTTTTTCCGCAATATTTGTATGTTATATTCGTGATGTTATATACTGTATATGCTTATGTATGTACGAACCAGATATTGTCTTATTCCAGGGTCCACCGGGTCCACAAGGTCCACCAGGACCGCCAGGTCCACCTGGGGATAGAGGCCTACCAGGATTACAGGGAAATACGGGCGAATTAGGTCCTGTAGGACCACAGGTGAGTTAAAATTTTGGGACAAAAATTTTCTCGGCCTTACTCAAAAACATCGACATCGATTTAAGTATAATGCTTAATATTGCTCCAGGTTTAGATCTCAGCCGGCACCAATAATTTTAAGTGCTGGTTAATTGCAATAAGTGCGAATGCGAAGAAAACAAGAACCTGGTTAACAAGTTTGAAGGCATGTTGTGAAGTCTGCCATTACGAATTAGGGCGGCCGTTTCTGTCTTTCCTTTCCCTAAAAACATTTTTAGAAATGAGAGGAAGCCTGTGCCCAACAGAGGGACGTATATAGGCTGTAATTTCACTTTATCTATAAAGTTGCTCTTTCTCTCTTCACTTAATGTTAATAGAAAAAGACGGGACATTTAATACTTTAGTTAAGCAAGCGATAACCATCGTTTATAATAATATCGAATATGGGTTACAGCGGCCAGTTACAACGGTGACTAGCCTGCGCAGCAAATGGTTATAGTAGGGTCTTGGCCCGTGCCGCATCTTATCAAAGGCGCTGTTACAACATCAAAGGTCGCCGCATGCGGCGTACACCAGCAGAAAAATTGGCACTTTAAAACTAAGCGTCGTAGTGAAAGGTTCTTTGCTTCCTAACTTGTGTTTATTAAATATATTCGTATTTTATTACAATAAGCATAAGAATAAATAGTATTCTATTTTATTCTTAGAATAGAAAAATATTTATTTAACAAACACTGTTAAAAATAATAAAATAAAAGCAAAATAATAAGTGCGCCTCCGGGTGTAGCGATACAATCTTATCGAATACACGAGTGTGTGAGCAAAAACAGGTTTAGTCTGTATTTTCCTTCTCTCCCTTCCGTCCCCCCTCTATACCATCACTCTCGTAATGCGATACGACACGAGAGGTCAGGCGCAGGACTAAAAGCTTTACCTGCTTATTGAAAACTAATAGTATTCACTTATTATATACTTAGTTAGCATATGAGTCCTATGAAGCTGTGAGAACCGCATAGGCTAGCAGCGTTAACATCATCGAAACCCAACACTTAGGTAGTCAAAAAAAGCAATGGCTTATTTCAGGGAGTAGGTTGAGTAAGTTGTTTGCATAATTAGTTATTTGTTTAGTTTTCCTCATAAATAGTAATATAATGACAATCAGTGGCGTAGCTACCTTGGGTGGCACCCGGGGCGGAAGTTGGTGGTGTCACCCCATCGAAAGTAAAAAGCAATAAATTTTATATGATAAATTACATGGGTCATTTATTATTTATAATATTGAAGAAATAACAAAACACAATAATAACTAAGACAGAAAAGGAATTGTTACCTATACAATTAAAATTTCTTCTTTCTAGCTTTGACTTTTTTATTATCTATCACTATAGAATAATACACGTTTAACAATTCACGCCAACCAACACACTTCCTTCACGAAACAAATGAGAAATGTTGCAACTGAGACGTCAAAGATCGCGAGTATGGGACGGGGAATCGCCCACGACAGCGTCAGGCTCTTTTGCGGAAATCCCAGAATTTTTATTAGAGCTGAGCTAGTGCTAGTGGAGGAATCCCCGAAAAAGAAATTTTTGTGTTAGAGATTTTTTTTGTTTGTACATTGTTCTTAAAGTTGGGAGACCGGGTGGGTATCACCCCAAATAAGGTGATACCCGGTGCGGCCCCCCGCCGCCCCCCCTTTGCTACGCCACTGATTGACATCTTTTAATGACTTGATTTCTATTATCTTTCAGAGGTAACTTTTAATCTGTGTTTTTTTCAAATAAATTTTATTTGGTACCAGGAATAGTTCATGCCCTTTTTAAATTGTGAATGATTCAACATAGTGTAGCCGTGTAGTGGCGACATTAGAGAATCATCACACACTCATACCGAGGATGTAACGAGAAGCGCTACAGGGAAATACAACAGGATATGGACAGTACCTAGCATCATCCTGATAACAACCCTAAATACTCGTAACAAAAACTACAGTTACCAACACGCCTCTCAAGCGTGGTAATTATGGCTGCCATATGAAGCAACCTATGGGGGAGATCTATGTTCAGCTATAGACTTTTGATGGCTGTGATAAATGAATGAAAAATCGTAGTGTAAAAGCGAGAAGATATTAGGTTCTGTATAAATAGCTCTCGTAATGATAATCATATTTATGTAGGGCCCTGAAGGCCCACGGGGCTTACCAGGCCCACCTGGACCTCCAGGTGCAGTGGCTGCCACACCTGAAGTTGCCGCTATTCCGGGACCACCTGGTCTACCTGGGGAAAGAGGACAAGTAAGTAATGATTATTTTAAAGGTTATTCGTGGATTAGTAATTTCAATTTAGTCAAATGTTCTTGTGAGTGATAATCTAAGAGTTGGCTACATAAAAAATGTCCGTATCAGGTACACAGTTGATTTATATTAAAGAAGAAACCTTTGGCGTAGCCGAACATAAATTTGCCTGTCTGCCATCGCGAAGCTGGGGCATATAGCTTACGGTTAAACATGTCAAATTTAGGGAAAAATTTATAAGGTAAACACGGATGCTAATTACGGAAGAAGCTTTTTATTTACATTAAAGTAACGCGGAAACATGTTGGCTGACAGTATTTTATGTTATGTTTTGATTTTTAATCTCACTAGACGTGCTTGATATTTGAGTACCTATAGAACAAATATTGATATTATATAATAAACAAAAGAAACTCTTACAACTTTTACAACATATATTGCTAGGGTTTTTCTTTAAAAACAATTACTCAATTTATTAAATTTTCATGTTGATCTTATTGTTGTATGTATATATGAATTTGTATTCAAACGATCAGTTAATATTCGGCAGTATTCAGATTATCAGATTCGAAAAGTGTAAGTGGATAGTAAAATATCGCAGGTATAACGGGACAAATGTCTACAGGTATAAGAAAAAGCAGCGAGGCGAAAATTGCAGTAGCCACTTCTTTCACTACTTTAGACAGGTGAACTGTAATGGTTTCGACACGCACGGTCAGTTGAACTGATCAGTTGGACTGATGTACATCCAAATAATAACGGTGAGTGTGAAACCTTAAGTTGAAATTTGAAACCAATGAACGGGTAAATCGTTTTGACTTACATCCGTTTGAACTGATCAATGCAACAGATCAGTTTAATTGACCGTGTGTGTAGGCCATAATTATGTTCAATGTCGATTCAGTTTTATAAAAAAATTACTACACTAACGACTTTTATGGCGTAAAAAAAAGTAATATCTGTACTACAGCGCTATAGTGCCTGTGAATCATGTTGATCCATAAGTAAGGAGTTTGTTAATTTGAAACTTTTAAATTCTTTAGAAAATTTCAAAGCAATTAGAGAAAAAGTTTCAGAGTTTAAAGGTTTTAAAATTCGATCAACAATACCAACTAGATAACGGGTCACGTACAAAATCATACCTAAATACTGTCCCCGTGAAAATAAACTTAAACAGCTACATCTATTTACTAAAGAAATGAGATAAAAAATCAAAATAGTTTTAAGTTCAACCTAATTACAACCATCGCATCTAGGAATAAAGTCACAAATCTTACGATCATTAGTCTTTTGTGACTAAGAGCTCACGTCCATCTGCGCTCTTATTAACTGAGACGGATTTCTTGCGCCGACCCGACATCTAGTTGGTATTGTTGATCGAAGGTTTTAAACAAATGAACATTTATATTTTGATTCATATAAGTATTGAAATATAGTACACAGTGCTTTCTCAATCAATTATGTAAAGTATAAGATAACGACTTATTTCACATCCCAAGTATAGTCCTCGGTAGTATAGTGGTCAGTATCCCCGCCTGTCACGCGGGAGACCGGGGTTCGATTCCCCGCCGGGGAGGGTTTTTGAACTTTTTAAAACATTAATTTATACTTTTATTTAATTAGTTTTCAAATCAAATTAATTTTATAATGGATGGAACTACTTTATACAATTTTTATACATTTTTTAAAACCGTGTAATCGCAGCTTTTGTGAAGTGGCTATTCGGGCGGCATGACATAATAAAATCCATTGCTGTCGTGCTATGCCTGAACTATAAATTTAGATAACTGCAACTCGTATATTATAAATCATAATATACTAGTGATCCACCCCGGCTTCGCACGGCTGACTTCTGGATCTCGACAACAGCGTCACCTACCGGACCCAAATGTAAATATAAACCATCTAGGGACCCATTCAAACACACAAAATTCTTCATCAAAATCGGTTGGATGGTTTCAAAGTCTATAACGGACATAGGTAGAAACATTTTTGTGTTTTATATAGGTAGATAGATTGATTATACTATGAAATGTTGACGAATTATAAATATACCATATTCCCCTGTTTTCTTCTCCGACGTGGACTGATTTTAATTTTATTTTCAAGCACATTACAAGAAGTTGCATGTATGTTTTTGTTTTATATTTTTTTAAATTTTGTTAAATTTGTTTTCTAGATGTGTAGATAACGCCGGTGTAACGGGACAGTCTTAATAATTATTTAAAAAGGTTCGGTTAAATAATTAATTTATTAAATATTATTTAATTCTTAAATAATTAGTTAAATAATTAATTTAGGGTAAAAAAAAGAACATAGGAACATGAAAATGGTATACATTATGGTGCAGGTTAATGAAACCAGTTTTTTGATGAAAAATCTATACTGATTTAGTTTTGTGGAAAATCAATGTCGCTTGCTATTTTTTTGAATAAATAAAACAATAAGATAACGTAACCTAACCTAACCTAAGCTTAAAATTTATCATACACCTAAACTGGTACAGGTTTTAGTTCAAAACCAGGATTTTTTTCAGGTTAATCATTAGATGAGAAATACTTTTTTTCTTCCGGTTCTGGATTAAAAGCCAAGGTTTTTGATTAAAAACTTGATCTTACAATAAATCTGCGACATATTTTATAGATTGTATAGTAAAAGAACATTTTTTTTTATAGAAGAGGGGGCGAACGAGCATGCGGCTCACCTGATGTTAAGTGACTACCGCCGCCCATTATCAACCGCAACACCAGGGGAATTGCAGGTGCGTTGCCGGCCCATTAGAAAGGAGTAAGCTCTTTTCTTGAAGGTCTCTATGTCGTATCAGTCCAGAAAAATCGCCGGTGGTAAACTATTCCACAGAAAAGTCGTACGCGGAAGAAAACTCCTCTTGAAACGTACAGTGGGGGACCCCCAAGCATCCAGATGGTGTGGATGGTATCGGGACGTTTGCCGCGTAGTGCGTTCACGAAATTTGGCGGCTGGGATAAATCCGAACAATTCCTCAGAGCACTCCCCGTGGTATATGCCAAAAAAAATGCTAAGAGATGCAACATCTCTTCGCAGCGCCAGTGAATCAAGCCGATCGGAAAGTATCGACGATCCAAGCCGCTCTGCGCTTGATGCGGTCAAGTGGAAGGAGCTGGCACTGGGGAGCCCCAGCCCAGTGATGGGAACAGTATTCCATGTTTGGCCGAAGCTGCGGCTTGTAAAGTTGCGGGTGGTGTATAACATTTGTTATAAGTAGTGTCATTAATCAGGTAGCAAATGGAGGAATACTTTTGTATGAACTTAACACTGCGTGGATGTCCCCTTAACTCATGCGATCAACGATGATTATATTATTTGTATAGACTTCTATCAACGTTAACGATTATAGAAAGTCAACTTGAGCTAAGCTTGCGACGACGTAGTAGAGAGTACACGGTGTCTTAGGCTACGCGAACGTACCTATGGAGTTTTGGCGGGAACTTGGTCGACGACGGACTGTCGCTCCTTTTTGTCACTTGAATAATGGTCTGAAGTGGATTTTAATTCGTAAAAGTGATTATAAGATGTGATTTTGTGAATTAAGTGTCTGCGCGTGTGAACTGTTAGAGAAAGCGACGAAACACGTGCTTTGATGTTGATATAAACCTCAAGTTATTTTGATCGCTTGGGCGCCTTATAAACTTGAGTGGCTGTCGTCATCAACTGTCCGCTGGGTTGAGCTGTCGTCAAAATCTCCCAAAAACTTCGCAATGAGACGCATCAGCATATTGTGAAGAAAAAAATATATAAAATGAAGATTCTGAAAGAAATGATAGGCTCAGAAGCGCTAGTACCCAGAGCCGTAAAGCCGGTTAAATAAAAAAAAAGAACGTATCTATGTAGAGCAGAGTTGGCTAACTTGATTTTGATTAAGTATTGTGCGATCTACCAATTACATACTTCTTGAGATTTTAAATAAACAATGAGGTTCAGTATACAATGAGAGTATCGACAGCTTTTTCTACCACCAGGGCGGCGCCACATTGGAAAGAGGTGAAAAATTTGGCAAGTTTCATAGCGGGGGGAAGATAGTTAATTTGTTAGAAAAGTGTAGAGATAATGTTTCTTTCTGAAATATTAGTTATATTTTATATTAATTACCCAGATTAAAAATGGAAAACCAAACTATATATATATATATATATATATATATATATATATATATATATTCTTAAAAGTAAAAGCTATACTAAAGATATACATACATTAGAAACCGAAAAACTTTTATTTGAAATGCAATTTTTTAATGAAGCCGTGGTAGCAGTAAATATAACAGAACGCGAGTGACCCGGGTTTGATCCCCGCCGGCACCAATGAAATTGTTAATTGCAATTTTAAGTGCTGATTTACCGCGTGCTCGGCGGTGAAGGAAAACATCATGAGGAAACCTGCATGTCTGAGGAATAAGAAAAAAAATTATTTCGAAGACATGTGAAGTTCGCCAACACGCATTGGGGCAGCGCGGCGGACACTTCCTTGCCCTGACCCTCTCAGAAATGAGGTTAGGCCTGTGCCCAGCAGTGGGACGTATATAGGCTGTAATTTTACTTTTTTTTAATGAAGATGACACTATGTGACCATTTCCGTGATAATTAAAACCACTTCAGTACGAATTAACCCTCATTGTCGACTTTTTTTTCTTTAGGAGGTGAAACATAAAATTAAAAATTATTCTTAATAATTACTTATATATACTGAGTGACTTTTTTACAGTCTGGAAAAAATAGGGTGTATCAGGTGATAGGAATAGAAAAGCCTATGGCACTGATATTTTACAATTTTTTTATTTTACATTAACATATTATGAAATTGATCTATCAATAAATAGAATAAACATTGTAGTTATACTTAGAGATATTGGGTGCGTTTGGCAGAAAAAAGCGCTAGTAAGCGCTTATAAGCGCTAAAATAGTTTTCGGCCAGGACACAATTGCTACTTCAGTAGCGCTGACACAATCCGCCATTTTGCTTATTTAATTTGTTTGTTTTGAAGTAGAGTTTATAAGTTGTTTTGTGCAATATTAGTTTTAAGTAATATAATGACATGAATAAACATATACATGCTATTAAAAACTCATGATTGGTAAGTTTTTAATATGAATACTTTACAAACATATATTTAAATTAGGTTAGATTCCCCCGGTTAAAACTAACATCGTGTCCTGGAGGAAAATAGCTACTTACGATTTGACAGCGCTTACCGCTTACGATCGCAATTTTGCTTACAAGCGCTTGCTAGCGCTTTTTTCTGCCGAACGCACCCATAGTCTTTGTAGTTGTATTAGTAGCAGTGAGTATTGAGATAAGATCTGAGCATCTCCCGCTAGATCAGCAAAATCGGGTTTGTATTTGAAAATTCCCAACCTTAAAGAATCCAATGCATGAGCGTCAAGCGAGAAAAGTGTTTGTTTTAATTAGAATATTGTTGACAGTTGTTGAAACCTATGTCCAGAAATCTAGAGCAGAGCTAGAGCCTTGCTTTTAGAAATATATCGCAGCACAGAGTAATAATTTAGTTTTGATATATCATAGAGCCGTGATAGCTCAGATGGTTAACGCTCGCTGTAAATATAACAGAACGCGAGTAACCCGGGTTCGATCCCCGCCGGCACCAATGAAATTGTTAATTGCAATTTTAAGTGCTGATTTACCACGTGCTCGGCGGTGAAGGAAAACATCGTGGGGAAACCTGCATGTCTGAGGAATAAAAAAAAAATATTTCGAAGACATGTGAAGTTCGCCAACACGCAATTGGGCAGCGCGCGGACACTTCCTTGCCCTAACCCTCTCAGAAATGAGGGGAGGCCTGTGTCCACCAGTGGGACGTATATAGGCTGTAACTTTTAACTTTTTAACTTTATATCATGTGGTCCATTTGAAATGTATATGTGAAAAAGAGGAACCAACCCAATAACTGATTTTGACCCAATCAGTTACGGCTACTAGAACAAGGAGGCAGCCATCAAAATAGAAGGCATATAACCGTTGTTAATTTGCAAGCTTCCTCGGATTTAAATGATCAGTGTGGAGACGAGACATAACGATACTATAACTTTATTTCGTTCAAGAGACCCCTCTCGTCCCCTCGCTAGCATTGGAATACTCGGCGTCGACATATCGAATGACATTCAGATTTGCGGTTACTTGTAGAACTACAGTATATCTTCGCGACACATATAATTCACATATAATACTGTTCTCATCTCTGGGCCGAGGTACCCTAGTACCTCGTATAGTGTCAACTATGGCAAATATTTTTCCTATAGAGACAATCTATAATAAAAATAAATAACTTTATTTCATTTCCAATTACACGTGTTTACATACAAGAACAAATATGATTACAATTAAATAAAGTAACAATAAGTCTAACAAAAATAATATGCTACAATAAAAGTAAAACTATGTGTAGCTTAATAATGTAGAATCTACAAAAAAAAATCGAGAAGTCAAGTTTATAATATTAGCTACCTGCCTGAACTAGCCTGAACTAACTTCCGCTTGATAGTATTCAGCGGAGAGCGGTTCGAATCGTCGGTGACCAAGTTCCTTCTGATCGGATTGAATCACTGGCCCTGCAAACAGATGTTGCATAGGTATCTTAGTGCAATTTATCGCATCTACCACGAGGAGTGCTCAGAGAAATTGGTCGGTCTAATTCCAATCGCTCAATTTCACTGTCGCACATCGCGACATACTTCGCGATACCATACATATCATCTGAATGTTTGGCGGTCCACCACTGTGTGATTTACCAAAAGTTTTTTTCCTCGTACAACTTCTTTGTGGAATCGATTACCACCAACGTTTTTTCTAGACCTATACGACTTAGGGACTTACAAGAAAAGAGCCTACTCTTTTTTAAAAGACCGGCAACGCACCTGTAACTTCTCTGGTGTTGCAGTTGTTGCAGGCGGCGGTAATCTCTTATTATCATGCGATCCGCATGTTTGTTTGCGCCCACTTATATTTAAAAAAAAAAACTTATATGTTTTTTTGCATTGCCACGATCGACTGGACCAATAGCCGCGATCGACCGGTTGATCACCCCTGATGCAGAGGATATTGCAATATTATTTTATATAAATTGTGATATTAATATTTGTTATAATACTGAGTTTTTTGTTTTGTAAATGTTTAGAAGGGTAATCCGGGGTTACCTGGTATGCCGGGAAGGGACGGACAAGACGGCGTACCTGGATCGCCTGGACAAAGAGGCCTACCTGGTCTACCTGCGTCTAGCAGTGTGATTGCTCAGGTAACTGAAAGTTAACTATTTGTTTTACGTGGAAGAGTGTAGTCTTAAGAAATATGTTTTTGAAAGAAGGGATTTAAGGTTGTCGTAATGCATTACTTTTGAAAGTAAAGTACGTAATGTCCCGATGCTGAGCACAGGCCTGCTGTCATTTTTGCGACGGCTTAGAAACAGGAACATGCCCGCCACACTGCCTAAGCACACCTTTTAAATTTAGAAAGCCTGGATATAATCAGCAAACTAATAAATGATGATGATAATGTACAGTTGTGACACAGACCCAAAAAGTTCAACACAGTTTCTGTTGGCTGACTAATTCCTGCTTTATGATCTTTTCATAAATGAGAAGAACGTTAATTTTCTTATCTAAGCCAATTTATTTATTTACGTATTCTTTCTAATGCGGTGTAGGTACCTGAGGACGGCTGCGGAGCCTTTCTGAAGACTGTTACTGTACTTGATACTCTTTGATTCTTTAGATATTCTTTCTATTTCCTATGGCAAAATTACCTCTATGAGGCAAGCTATTGGTTAGGTCGATGTTCAGCTGTGGACTTTTTAGGCTGTAATGTTAACGGAATATAACTATAGGCCTTCAAAAACATAATGTAAAAAAAAACCAGTCTCGCAACTCAGTTCTTCTACCGTAAAAAGTTGTGAGATCCATGTAATACCAAGTCGGTTAATTTATTCAGTCCCTACTTAAGGGTCTTTCTGTTTTAAGTTATTACGTAATTAGCTAACCTAACAACATTTTATAGTGACCATATCAATGTTAAAAATCTTTTATGTTTCATCATCGATTTGCGTTTATTTTTTAAAATAGATCTAAATTCATTTTTGTCAGTTTGTCTATGCATATTTTTGACATGAAAGCTATTAAATTATATCGCTACTACATGAATTTCAAATACAATGAAATATAAATTTATGATTTTTTTTTCAGCCAGTCTCACTCACTGAAACAGAAGTTAGAAATATCTGTGAAGATTTGATCAGAGGTATGTTCTAATAAACTATGCATGAAATATAAATTTAATTAAAAATTGTCTCGAATAATGAACTTGGATGAATTCTTATAGTTCGGTTAAGTGAATTAGTGGAGACATTAAAGCTTCCACCTGCACCAGTAAGCTTTGTAAGACGAGGGCCACCCGGAAAACCCGGACCTGCCGGATCACCAGGTATCAATTTATCAATTTTACACGAAAATCTTTAACACAACATTTTAACAAACCTTTCAAAACACGAAATTAATTTTATGAAAATAAACTTTAATACTCTTAACTATTTTATTCTAAGGAACGTGATGGTAATAGGGTCACCCTAAGCTTTGCTGCCCTATAAAACCAAAATTAGGAGAAGCACAGAGACAAAACACAAAGTCGTAAACAATAACTAATATTATTAAGAAAAAAATAGCAAACAAGCTTCGGCAATAATTAGAAACACTTCGAAAAATCAACTTAGAAAAGCTAACTACGCCATACTAAAATCTACTAAAATATTAATTATAATGTCAACTATCGAATTACCTCGATAAAGCAGCGCTCTATTGATATTTTATTATTTGATTGAACGATGAATAGCTATCGTACAATGATTTCAAAAGCAAGGATACGCCCATCTAAATATTTTGCTCATAACTTTCTCATACAAGAAAAAGTAGCGCATCTGTCATAATACAAACGTCATATCAAAACACCACGTAACCAGGGTTCGATTTCGTAGTATAATTATCCTAATTGTACCATTATTTCATGGTTTGTAGTACATACATAGTATCGTAATAATACTAAGCAAAAATACCATAATTTTACCTAAAGGTCGACTTGTATTATTATTAGGTCCTTTTACATTTTAATATGAATCCTACGATATCGAGAATTTCTGTATTATACATGAGTACCGCGTTTTTTTTAAATAAAATTAGAATTAGCCCCCTTTCTGGTCAATTGACGAAAAAAGAAAAATGAAACGTCAAACGTGATATAATTTTTTTTAAATAGTACAATTTCATTTTCCATGTACCTACAATATTTTGAGGGTCTGAATCCAACCCTGGTCTCATCTTGGTAACGTAACTAAACTAACTGTAATATAAAACTTTAAAATGCGTTTATATAATAATTTAATTGTAACACAACTAATATAATGTTATTTACCGATGATACGATATCCCATGTTTCTTTCAAATCTTTGTATCGTAATTTTGCATTATTTTACCACGCAATTAGACATATTTGTGACAGGCAATCTGTCAAAAAATCAAATCTGTCCTGCGCGCGCACCACTGTCGACCGATTCGCGTTGGCCTCAAACAGTAATTTTAGGGCCAACGCACTGGTCCGTTTTAGTTGTTCGGTCGGCCCGGTCCTTACGCTAGTAATTATATAAGTCAATGCTATCGTATCACACAGTCATCTATGCAAACAAGGCTGTAGTTTTTGAGTTATAAGAAAGTACCCATATTAACCCGATGACCATATTACCTTCAAGTACTATATAATTATTAATTAGATTTATAGATCATTTGCATTTGCAACTAAAATGGTCAAAAACTTAATTAATAGTAGTATATCTTTTATGTTTTAGGAAGTGTAGTTTGACGTGTAGAGAAGTATAGTTGGCGTGTAGAGAAGTGTAAGAAGTGTAGTCTGAAGTGTTGAATAAATTACTGAATTGGTGGAGTCAATTGCTGGTACTACTAGCTTGTCTCTGTTCCTAGTGTTTACAGAACGAATATCACTTATTTTTGTAAAACTACTTTTATTTTTGTGATGAAAAATTATAATACCGAGAGAGTCAATATACTATTTTTTGAAGTTCACTTTTTCATACCTACTAGTAATATATGAATTGTTTAAGGAGGAAATAACTGTATGAATTAAGTCAATTAGTTGTTTTTTTAAAACTCAGGGTCACCTGGAGAACCGGGTGTACAAGGGCCTCGGGGGTATCCAGGGGAAACTGGCGAACCTGGCAGGCCGGGCAGTCCAGGTCCGAATGGAGATAAAGGCGATAAAGGAGAAAGAGGACGGGAGGGATTGGGAGTTCCCGGACCGGAAGGACAAAGAGGGGTTCAAGGTATTGTAATTTTGTGTTACTTGGATTTCTATAATTTGATTTAGTTATGGACACTATTGATTTCTTATATTTACGCGGATACGGTTAGAACCTCATGGTCATGATACCTACTAGGTTAAAACTTAAAATTAAACGCGATAAAATCAGTAAAATTAGTTATATTCCATTTGTTATGATCATTCAAATTTAACAAACACGAGAAAGCAAGACTTAGTTTATAATATTATAATTATCGATAAATTATACTTTGTTTAATTGAGTGACTAGAAATACAATATAGGCCTGCAGTTTAAGTATGAAATTTCATCAGAAGGCCAATCCGAAGTAATACAAATGTACTTAATAAATACACAGGCATAAACAGACAAGACACTGATGCCAATTGAAAGACTTCAAGAGTTCTCAAAACGATTTTTTTATAGATATTGCATTGGAATAACGTTTAATGCCGTCAAAGTTTCTTATATTGAACAAAACTCATATAAGTTAGAAAGTAAAAAGAAACTAGGGTTGAAAAGTTTCGAATTATAGTCAAAATGTAAATCACCTACTAAACGTAGCAAGTTTAAAACATAAAGCGTCATAATTAATTTATTGTTGTCAAGTACCCAATTACTATTACTCATCTTAAAAGAAGAATCAAATAAATAAAAACAATGATGTTACGTGAGCAATGGAATAATCACTAAAATAATTGTAAACAATCAAGCAATTACGCTGATCAGAAGCCATTGATGAGCCGTTCACAATTTATAGTGATTTGTTTCAGTTTTGATGTAGGGTTTGTCCTATTTATTGCACGTCATTATTTAAACGTAAATAAAGAAAAATTAATTAAAAAATCTCAAACACTCCATCATTTTTATCTTTTAAATTAAAAATGCGTGCTATAACATCATTTGAACTGATTTTACTACGCATGCACACATTCGTAAAGGCGATATTACATGGTTCATTTCGGTTCAATACTGCTTTCAATTTAATTGTTTCAATGGCATTGATGAATCTCATTGAACGCGCACCTATTTCGCTATATTTATTTCGAAAATGAAGTTCTTGAGGCTCCTTTAGTTATCCTTCTCGAAATCTACGGGCGCACCCACCAACGCCGAGATTTTTTAAAATTATTTAATTCCCGCTCGTACGTGTTGGCGCGACATCGCGTTGCGCTGTGATCATTGAATGTCATTGAAACGATTTACTTGTATAGTAAAGTAGTTCTATGTGCAATTTTCAATGATTTTCAATGGAATTGTCTCAATTTGGTTGATCCGTGTAATATCGCCTTAAGGGTCGATCGGTAGGCAACAACATTGTTTCCCATAAATCACATTTAATTTGGGATAATTTCAAATAAAATTAGAAGCCTTATTTATTCTGTATATTATTATTCATATATTTGAACCTCATTTTAAAATTTGGCTAAACTTTGAAAAATAACCCTGTATATTAATAAGAATTTTTACATCAAATATTTTTTATTTTTAATTTTAAAGACATTGCTAGTATGATGCTGTAGATTAAGTTATTTACAAATTTTGTTGGTACCTAGAAACTTTACTATAGATCATTGAGATAATTTTGTTTTGACAAAATTCTGAATTCAAAGTGTGTGTATCTTGTTTTATTTACTATTATTGTTATAGTAATAGTAGTATAGTAATTAACTGTTTGTTCGTTTCTCAGGTCCTATTGGTCCCCCTGGGCCCGACGGCAGAACCGGAGAACGAGGTGATCCTGGCTATCCAGGTAGTGTAATGTAGTAATGTGTTTCTTCTTTGTCAACACCCACTGCTAGACATTGGCCTTGATTGTCACACTAGGCACGTTGATTGACAAGCGCAATATCCGACATTTACACAATCCATTGGTGTATTTATGTTTGGTGTAAACTAGATAGTTATACTACTAGGTATCCATAGGAAGCTATGAAATCTTTCTAGTGTTTTCCATAGTCGTCTGTTACGGGACGAAATTGGTCGACGTATTTTATTACGCGGCCACAACTCGCTCTAATACTGATTTGAAACAATTAAATATGATACATAATTATCAACATCATCATCATCATCATCATCATCATTACAGTCTAAACATAACTAACATAGGCCTCCCCCAAGTAATGCCACAAAGCACGGTCCTGAGCCACATGTCCTCCATCGACTTCCTGCATATCTTACCATGTCGTCACTCCATCTAGTGGCGAGTCGCCCTACACTATGCCTACCGGTACGAGGCTGCCACTCGAGAACCTTTATTCCCCATAGGTTATCGGTGATAGTGTGATAGATTCAGAAATGAGGATATCCGCAGTAAAACCAGAGCGACCGACATAGTCCAACGGATTAGTAAGCTGAAGTGGCAATGGGCCGGCCATATAGTTCGAAGATAAATAAATATATCAAAAACAATTTCTTAGGTGTTCTTTTTGATTATAATTACTTTTTTTGTTTTAAATGAGAAATTTTTATATTTGGTGCGAGCGGCTCACCTGATGGTACTCATTACCGCCACTACCGCAAAACTACACTACAAAACTTCTTGTAAATCACACAGTAGTGGACCGCCAGTAATCCGGGTGGTAAGGATGGTATCTCGAGTTCTGACGCGATGTATGATGGTGAAGTTGAGCGGCTGGAGTTAATCCCTCTGAGCATTCACTGTGGTAAATACGATAGAATACGCAAAGAGATGCAACATCTATTCGCAGCGCCATTGAGTCAAACTGATCAGAAAGTGCTCGGTCGTCGACGATTCGAACCGCTCTGCGCTGGATGCGGTTGCGTTTCTTATTTATGAGATTTTCTATAATTGCAATGTACCATATATATAACTTAGTTTTATTTTTTTTTCTTCTTAACGATACTTTTGAGCTAACCACTGCTGTCATTTGTGTTCCTGCAATCGCTATATGTACAATTTTTTCTATAAATTGTGTCTCACCTAAACTATGCGCTTGAAATAAATATTATTATGTTTTCTTATAACTTTTTTTCGATTTTACTTTTTTCAGGTTCAATTGGCCCTCGAGGTGTTCCTGGTCCCAGAGGAACTTGCGATTGTCCTGTGGCTGCGTATTATGCTTATTCACCTGTTGGCAATTTTAAGGGTCCATAGCTTTTGAAAAAAAAATCTTGAATTTTTAAATTTTGTCACTTAAAATCAAATTACCGGTACAACTGCTTATAATCAATTTTTTGTATAAAATTGTTAATGGCAAATTTTTACTAAATTGATCTTTTTTTACACCTTCTCCAGAATGATATCTTAACATTAGGTTATCTGTATAAATATTTCAAAGCTAGTTTTTTTATTAATTTTGTAAATATAATTATTATTTTAAACGTCTTGTTACACTGTGTTTATAAGATATACATATGAAGCGTATGAAAGCCGAAATGCGGTTACAATCTGGGTTTAGTCGGCTACGATTTGTAGTAGCCGATTGCGTGGTTAAACTTATAAGTAACAAAAAGTTAGTAAAAAAAGGAAAAAAAAGTAACAAGCTGTTACACCTTATTTCAACTAGTTAAGGTTTAAATTTGTCCAAATCCTTTCTTAGTAAGTGCCAAATATCGTGTCAATCGGGCGTATAGTTTTGAAGAGCTCGTGTTGAATGAGCGAGTCAGTGGTATTTCGCTTATATACACACATACTTACACATCCATTGAAAAGTCGGGGTGGATCACTAGTATACATATATATAAATGTTCAAGGCATTGTTGATGGTGTTACTTGATATGAGCGTTCGTATTTTTGACAAATTTAACAGAAGCCATAATTATTAGCCTACAGTCGCTGATGTCACTTGATATATGTTTTTGTTTGACAAGTAATTTTTTTTATTATTCGGACTTTACTTATTTTCACCCAAAAGCACTGGACCATACATTATTTAAGCCATGAACAGTAAGTAAAATAAATTTAAAAATAACAAACAGCAATCGGCTGCACCTATTTGTAACCGGTTGACCGTGGGTGTAGTAACCATAGACTTAGCATAGTAAAGTATATTCAAGTCTATGGGTGTAACCGTACTCCGGCGTTTAGCCATGACATATCTACTTAGCGAAATTTTATGTTTTGAAGCTAAATAAATGGAATTCAAATAAGAAATAATTTAGCTAGAATATGCGGTACTGATTACTAGCGCCGACATTCTCATATGTCAATACATAGAAAGAAAGAAAGAGATATTTATTTGGCCATTTCTTAACAAATTAGCACTAAATACTCAAAACAAACATTATGTTTAGGTATTCTTATAAGTAGACTTAATTATACACTTACAATGAAAAATAAATCATTTTGATAAAGCAGATAGACACAAAATACATTAAAAAAAGTGAACACCTAACTAAAAAAAAATCTTTTTTAGTGGGAAATGGTCCAAATGGTACTGCCACTCAGGAAACGCTAAGATGTGTCATATAATATATATACATATACATAAATATATACATATACATACATAAATGCAGGGTGTTGGTGTAAACACCGTTATCCTTGAAACCAGTGGTTTGGTTTTACTTATAGTGAATTCAATGAATTAAAAAAAAACGCTATTTTTTTTTCATAAAATTTAAAAAGTTTCTGTCCGACACCGTCCGTAAATTCATGGATACCCTATGCGCCCGAGGGACGTAATCACTGTAAAGATCATCGCCCGCGCTAGCTACCTACACTACATCACAGAATAAATAATAGTACTAAGTAACTACATTCCAATAAAAACACAATAGGTGTGATGTAACTTTTCCTTCATACTTTCACCCTTGCTTAGGACAGGCAAACATTGAGGAATTAAGGAAAAATTGAGATTTTACTTTAAAAAAATGTTAATTTTCATTGAATTTACGTTCTATAAGTGAAACCAAACCACTGGTTTCTAGGATAACGGTGTATACACTAACACCCTGTATACACTAACAACCTGTATATACATACGCATAACACACGTAGACATACACACACGGGCACATATTTTGTATTTATACGGGCACATATATTAAATACTTATTTGGATTAAAAATACAAGTATATACACGATTAGTACGTTTTTAATATTCTTTTTATATTTACTTTTGGACCACAACTGCCTTATATTTATAGTGCTATACCGGATGTTTATGAATGTTAATTTCGTTGCATAACTGGAACCGAGGATATAAAAATAATTTAAATTTCATATAAAAACACTTATACACAATAGCAACCCGAGAGATATGTTCAACATAACATGCTGCCGCATCCATTTAGCATATTACTGTATACACACCATCCACACCATCTGGATGCTTGGCGGTCCATCACTGTACGTTTCAAAAGGAGTTTAACTCTCTGTGAAATAGTTTACCACCCGCGATTTTTCCGTACCGATACGACCTGGGGACCTCCAAGAAAAGAGCTTACTCCTTTCAACGCACCTGCAATTCCCCTGGTGTTGCGGTTGATCATGGGCGGCGGTAGTCACTTAACATCAGGTGAGCCGCATGCTCGTTTGCGCCCTCTTCTATAAAAAAAACTCAATATGATTACTGTATACTCAATATGAGTTGTTCTTGAACGTTGTTACGTATGTTGAAAGGTATGAGCCGAAGTGCGAAAGAGGCTACAGTAATCTCGGTGCCCTATTTGTTCAACAGACAATGATTGGTGGAAATTCCATACGAACTTGAAGTGTACTATCATATAATTGGATAAATTAATTTGCGCAAATTGTTTCTACCAAAATTGTCCAGCGGTACAAAAGCATACCGATCCTATACTTGTTTATCATTGAGACACAAAAAGATGTACTTAAATGTAATAAACACGATTACGAACATGATATTGTTTTATTCACATTACCCTTTTTATCCAACTGCCACAGAAGGAGGGTTATGTATGTGTCAGTTCGGTGGGTGTGAAAAATGTAAGTACTAAAGGTTGGTGCAGAATTAAAAAAAATGAGGTGTTGTAACATTCGTCTTAATAGCGGGCGTGAAAATTTTGTGGCCTATATTTTTATCTTTTCGGTAAAGGTTTTTGCGCCGTCTTGGTTTTGTTTTTATTAACTGTTTTATCGATAGGGCTTGTTTCGCCAGTGTGGTGACGATGTAAGAATATCCACTACTCTGGTCTCGTTGATGTCGTAGAGGCAACGAAGATAAAAAATACCATATAGTTTATTATAACTCAATTAAATGACACACATATTTCGATTGAGCTCCTTGCTCCTAAACTAGGAATCCTGTAGGTCAGGAGCTATTCCCTTCCATAATTTATGCACTCACACAATATTATTATATTAATATTCAACATATCCTTAAATTCAATTTATTTACATTCCACTTTATTTCTTTAAAATGAACATACAATAGTTTAAAAAAATATCAAATTAAAAATTAAAGTTTAACATAAAGAGTTATAAAGTTATAGTAAAGTTTTTATAGTATAACTAATACTAAAGTTTTAAGTAAAGTTTAACATTAAACATTAAAAAAAAGAAATTGTATAATAATAATATGTAATAATGACTGAGTAATATGACAAATATGTGGGTTTAACATAAAATCGTTTAAAAAATATAAAATTAAAAATTAAAGTTAGTAAAGAGTTAAAAGTTATAGTAAAGTTTTTATAGTGGTTAAAAGTTTTATGTAAAGTTTAACATTAAACATTAAAAAAAAGAAATTGTATAACAATAATGTAATAATGACTAAGTAGTATGACAAATGTGTGAGTGTATGTGTGTTTTTGTACAATATGTAAGTGCTTTGTGTGTATAATATGTGAAGTAGTGTGGTTAATACGTGGAAGTAGAGAGATGATTGACTTCATTTGATAAGATTTACGTAAAAACAACTACGTAATAAAAGCTTCAGTATACAGCCCGCTTGGCAAACTTGGCAACTATATCAAATATTTACATTGTAAGGCAATCTACGGGGACGCCTCAGTTCAGTAATGGATTTCGATAGACTGTAATGAATGATAAAAAAAAATATTTTTCAAAATGATTTTACTTTGATTATGGGTGAGATTTAGTAAGGGCAATTAGATAGGGGTTTGTATGATAAAATCCGTATCTTGATTATCTAGGAAAACAATGGCAACTGACATAGTCCAACAAATCGGTAAAGAGAAGTAGGAAATGCTACGGAAATTGGTACCCGTTCAGATCCTCAGCTCTCTCATCGGCGAAGCCAAACACATCGAAAGTCGTTTGTACCTAGCTTAGTCATCTTTTCACATTTATGGGTTGGTGGGCTAGGAATTTTATTACTAAATAAATATACGGGGTGATTTTTTTACCGCCTAGAAAAAAATTGTGTGTAACAGGTGAACGGAATAGAAGCCTATGGCACTTATATTTAACATTTTTTTACATTGACGTATTATGACATTTATCTATCAATAAAAACTATTAATTGGGTGTGTATTATTTTTGTTTCGATAGTTTTTAATTGATTTATTTATTTAGTTCAACTTTTTCATTACCTAAAGTTTATTTCAAATTAGTGGTATTTATTGATAGTTCAATTATATAATATGTTAATGTAAAAGCAAAAAAATAGAAAAATATCAGTGCCATAGGCCTTTATTCCGCTCACCTCTTACTCTCTATTTTTTTCCAGGCGGTAAAAAAATCAGCCACTATATACAAGAAATCAGTAATAATATTCGGCGATTTATGATGTTGGTTTCTATTTTATTTATACAACCTTGATCTAACTTTAACTTGTTGCAAAACATAATCGTAAAAATATACGCGTGACAGCATTAAGGCAGCGATAAAAAGATATATAATTTCTTGTCTAGTGAACATTATAATAAAAACAATGTTTACAGACAGTGTTTGAATTCCCAGACTTTGTCACTCCAACAGCTTACACATAATATCCTTACTTATATTTAAAAAATACAAAAACATTAAGCTATAATTTTTTCTTATTTAATAATTTTGTGATACATATAGATAAAAATTGTATTCGTATGAACGTCATCATCAACATCATCGTTATCAGCCCGTTTGAAGTTCACTATTGGAAATGGGTCTTTTTCACAGAAATCTAAATACTATTGCCTTATTATTTAGATCTCTATGGTCTTTTTATAGAAGAGTGGGCAAACGA